TTTTCTGTTTTGGGGACATTTATCCTGGTTGGTGTTCTCTGAACTTCCTGGATCCATGGTCCGGTGTCTGGTGTTAATTTGGGGGAAATTCTCAGTCATTATTGTTTCAAATATTTCTTCTGTTCCTTTCGGTCTTCTCTTTCTGGTGATCACATTACACATATGTTGCACCTGTTGTAGTTGTCCCACAGCCCTTGGATATTCTGTTCTGTTTTTATCAGTCTTTGTTCTCTTTGCTTTTCAGTTTTGGAAGTTTCTGTTGACATAGCCTCTGATGCAGAGATTCTTCCCCCAGCTGTGTCCAGTCTACTAATAAGCCCATCAAGGCATTCTTTATTTCTGCTACAGTGTTTTTGATCTCTAGCTTTTCTCTTTGGTTCTATTTTAGGATTTCCATCTCTCTGCTTACATTGCCCGTCTGTTCTTACAGGTTGTCTGTATTATCCATTAGAGCCCTTAGCATATTAATCATAGTCGTTTTGAATTCCTGATCTGATCATTCCAACATCCATGCTATGTCTGGTTACGATACTTGCTCTGTCCCTTCAAACTGTGCTCTATGCTTTGATATGCTGTGTAATTTTTTTCTTGGGAGCCAGGGTTGGTATACTCAGCAGAAAGAACTCCTTTAAGTGAGCCTTTAGGCGTGGCGGTAAGGTGTAGGGGGAGGGGAAGCATTCTCTAGTCTCATGATTAGGTCTCCATTTTTAGTGAGCCTGTTCTTCTGAACTGTGAACTTTAACATGTTACTCAGTATTTTTCTACACCCATAGGTGGGAGAGGATGGCTAGAGTGGGCTGGAGTTGGGGATGGGCATACCTTGAAGATAATGCAGGTTTGGTCCCACACCACTGCAATCAGGCAAATATTGCAGGGATGTGAGTTGTAATCATTTTGTTGGTGGAGAGCTTGCCTTCAATTTGTAAAAAGCACAGCATCCGTGAAGCCCATTAAGCAAAGGGCAGTACACGAGCGAGCCTGTGTTTTAGTTACTCCTTTTAATACCCCAGCATTGCAGGCGCTGCTCATTGGTTTCTCCTGAGGGCAGGCCTTATTCTGAACAGACTGCTCCGGGCATTTCCAAAGGCTCCCTTTCCCCTCCCCGTGACGGAAGCCTCAGGGGATTTCTCTAGAGCAGTGGTTCTCAACCTTGGCTGCACATTAGAATCACCTGGGAATCTTTTTAAAATCCTGATTTCTGGGCCTCATCCTCCGGAAATTCTGTTTCTTTGTTATGGGGTGGGGACGCAACATTAGTAACAAAGAAACAGAATTTCCGGAGGATGAGGCCCAGAAATCAGGATTTTAAAAAGATTCCCAGGTGATTCTAATGTGTTTACTGTGGGAGGCTGGTCGGGCTCTTGGAGGTAAAGCTCACAATATTGTTAGGGCCACCTTATGATGGGGTCCCCCTGGAGTTTTTTACTCTCAGACTGGTCCACACAGAGCTTCCAGCAATTTGTCAGTTACAGTTCAGGTTTTTGTTTGTCTGTTTTAATTTTTATTGTTGAAAGAATTATATAGGGCCTCCTTTCCCCCTCATTAACCTCTTCCAGCCGCTCCCTTCCTCTCCCCACCCCAGGCCCTCACCACCCCATTGTCTGTGTTCACTGGTTCCCCCCCCGCTGTTTTGGCTCCTTCTACCCCTGAGTCTTGGCTCTGGTGAATCGCACATCCCCGTATTCACCTGTCAGTCTCTCCAGTCTTGAGGTGAAGGGTTTGCCCGGGTCCTTGCCTCTCTTGTGGACCCAAGCAGAGTTGTCAAGTTTTTAGTCTGAATGTTCAGTTTTTCACTTGTTAGGATGGAGTCGTGACTTCCTAGCTCCTTACCTGGAAACCTGAAGTCGTCAACTTTTATTTCGTGATTGTTCCCCCTACCATCCCCATTGGCAGATTTTAAATTATAGATTGAGTTCTTTCTGCTAGCATGCTTTTGTGCTCCTCTCTCCCACAACATAAAATGGAAGATTTTCTCAAATTGTTGTTCTTATGTAAAATATGATTACGATTTATTTATCCTCCATCTATATTATGTAATTCTTTCTAAAACCAAGGGTAATGAATGATGCTAGAATTATTTATTTAGGGGATTCTCGGCAT